GAAAAGAAAAGAAAAGAAAAGAAAAGAAAAGAAAAGAAAAGAAAAGAAAAGAAAAGAAGGGCCGTACCAAACCCACAGAAGAATGCAAAAAACAGTATACCGGCCACCCGTAGAGAAGGCTGGTGACAGCAATACACACTCGTATCACAAAACGGGCGCGCCGATCCCTGTGGCCACTGCAGGCTTCGCACCAGGCCCACAACCTGGGGGGGCTCCTTCCAGGGGGCAGGCCAGCCACAGGAGAGGGCCCATCAGAGGCACTGCTTCAGGGAGGGGACCTGTAAGCAGTTACACTTAAGCGGAGCAAGTTAAATAGCAAATACTGAATTTGTTTACCTTGGTAGAAAACTTATTAAAGAAGGGGAATTTGAAAATGTGGAAATGCTGGTAGCGGGTGGTCTGCTGAGAGAAACGGATCTTGGCTGAAGTGGCTGTGGCCAGGAGCGCCTGCCCACTTTGCTCCATGGAAGTAAGAGTTGGGTGTGTGAGGAGGAACATAAAGAGAAGTTGAATGCAGGGGAATGAGGTCCTTAAGAAAGGTATCTGTTGAAATGGTCAAGGATGAGTGGCTGCTGAATGAAGGTGGACCGAGTGCAAAAGTAACAGAAGAGTGTGGGGTTTGGCCGTACCGAGACTATGAATGAGGATGGTGAGCGAATGGGCTGAGAGAAGTCAGGGTTAAATGGAGCTGATGAGATCTTCAAGAACAGAAAGGCATGGAAAGATGAAACTCTGGTAAAAACGGTTTAGCTAGGTTTACTTTTGTTTTCCTACCTCATGCCTTTCATTACTTCGGCTTACTACTTTTTATGCTTTGCATAACCCTGCTTACCTTGAAAGGAACAGGGCAATGGGGACTGTACGTGGATTCCGATTCCCTTGGCATGCACACCCGCTGCAGAATCCAAGGCCACAGCGAAGAGGAGGAGAAGCAATTGGTTGCAACAAGCTCAGGCATACCTGTCCCGGTGTGTTGCCGTCATCAGCATAGACTCGAGGATCAGCCCCATGCTGGAGAAGCAGCTCCACCGCTGCCAAGTGTCCCCCAAAGGCTGCTCGGTACAAGGGAGTCCGATTAAAAGCACCCTAAGAAAGAAAAGGGAGAATCCAACTGGGTTGATACCAGCCACATCAGTTGTCATGTGTACTGCACTGGATGGGCGGATTCAGTACAAAGGTGACATCCTGAAGGTATCTGGGAGCCAAGCCGTGTAGGATATGAAACCATTCCCTTGAGCTATACTTGGAAACCTACCGATACCCAACAAAACTGGTGTCATAGGGCTGAAGTAGCTCTCAATTGGTGGGCTTCAGATTCTACACCAAGGGCAATTTCTGAGTAATCTTCAAGGGTAGCCCCATGTAAAGCAAATATATTCCATGTCATGATGACATGCCTCTCTGTGGCCAAGGCCTCTGGCCACAGAAACAGCCATAACTGGCACACCAGCTGAAGTTTGCCTAAGACTTTCCTGGCCATGGACCCCTCCTGCTGGTCCAGCAGTGCTGCGAATCCAGGAGAAATGGCGGTGGGAGTACAACCTCATCTAGAGCCAGCAGAAAGCCATTTGGTGGTGGTGGTGGTGGGGGGGGGAGCCATAGTTTCCTTTTGGTAGGATTCAGTTTTACTTTGCTTTTTCCCGTCAGCCCCTCAAAGCTTCCAGGCATGGGATAAGGCCCCTACCTTACCTCCAGCTTAGCTTGGCTTGATAATGGGCAACTGGGTATCCTTAGCACACTGACGATCCCTCACCCTGAACTGACCAATAACCTCTTCCAGTGATTTAATAGACAAGTTGAAAGGGTGAGGGAGCCAGATCCAGTGGCAGCCCCCAGAAGACTGGCCACCAACTCAACCACTCCTTCTCCAGCACCCACTCAGGAAAGAATGGAGCCACTGTAGATAGAGCCA